TTTTTATTTTTTTTTTTTTTTTTTTTTTTTTTTTTTTTTTTTGTCTTTCAGCATCCGGAAATAATATAGGAGCAGGCACTGAATTTAATTGTCTTGGAAAATATGATTTTTTAATGGAACTAATATCTCATTATGTGATGTTTCCTAATTCATTTAATCATTTCCCTACTGTGGTACATTTAGATTGTTTTCTGTTTGTAGCTATTATAAATGACACTGTGATGAGTACAAGTGTACATAAATCTTTGGAATGTATCTAATTATTTCCCAAATATATCTCCTCCAGGCAGAAAAGCACCCGGTAGACACCGTGGCTTTACACAGGTAGTTTGCACGTCTCCCCACAAAAATTCTACCTGCACTGCAGGGGGTCCCAAAAGTTTTCCTCCCATCAAAGTGGCAGATGCGCTAGTTTTGAGACAAGTGAAAGAACCTGATTTCCACTGTGCTGTGGTTTTACAATGCAATTATAATCCAAAAAATTATCCTGGGAAGACCTGGACTAATCCTTGGGTTTAGAAATCAGTCAACTTGGTTTGAAAGCTTGACTTCACCATAAACTGTGTTAACTTTCACATGCCTTATTATTTCAACTCTTACACCCTTAGCTACTTAAAAAATGTGAGAAATATTTACTTGTTTGCTGATTATATGAAAACACATAGAAACAATTAATGTGTGAAGCATGATGAATTTTTGTTAGTTTTCCCTTCCTTCTTCAAGGAAACCCTTTTTTTTTTAATTATCCCACAAGGGGACAGCTTATATGGAATATGGAAAATGTCAGTACTAAAATCTTTGAAATATTTTCAGGAAGGTGTTTCTATATTAGCAAGACAGGCATTAATACAAAATTCAGGTAGGAAAAAGGAAAAGCCTGTTTGGATTATTTTCTCATGGAAGTCCCTTTTTATCTTCATGTCAGTGAGTAGCCCTTTATGCAATTAAAAAAATAAAGTTATAAAATAAATACTTATTAAATAAAATTGAAAACTTTTAAAGTGGTAATCGCACTTTTCATTCTTCCAGTCTTGGGGATCTGATGCCTTCGCTCTGGGCTGCTGGGATACAGTATGAACTTCGCTAATCATTAGCTGTGCGGTCACTGTAAGCACTGTAAGCACATGGATAGGCTGATGTAGCCTTTGTGACTACCGTGCTCATCAGTGGTATATAAGTAAATTTTAGAAGTCCTGAGATACGAACCTTTCAGCCTTGCTAGGGTACTGCCTGTGATGGTCACTACCAGCTGTAAGTGCTGCCATTTGCTGGAAAGAGCAAGAGGGGTCTGAGGTTCTGATACAGGGTTGTCTTTGACAGCTCCCTGGATGGAACAATGTCTGTGAGACCTGAGACTTACACAAAGGAGGTTATTGAAGAAAAAATAATAAAACTCAGGGCCCGGGATTTAGCTCAGTGGTGCCGCCACCTGCCTCTCAAGCACAAGGACCTCAGTTCTATCCCTGGTACAAAAAAAAAAAAAAAAAAAAAAAAAAAAAAAAAAAAAAAAAAAAAAAGAAAAAGAAAAAAATAAAATAAAATAAAATAACAAAATAAAGCTTAACAAAATTATAAAATTAGGCCTAGGATCTTAGAGGTTCTTCTATAAATGAGGGACCTGAAGTTCAAGTTTCATTGCTTCCTGGTACATCTGTCTCTGAGTTAGCAAGGCATTAGAGTTAGACTTTATATGTACAAATGCTGGCTCTGAGACTGACCGTAGCACTCTGGGAGAGTTTCTGAGGGAGGGAGAGAGGAAGGGAGAGAGAGAGAGAGAGGGAGGGAGAGAAGTTAATGACAGTAAGTCAAATGCTGACTAATACAAGAAATTTGAAATGATATGACAATCCCAGTTTAAACTTCTACGGGCAGGGAGAGAACTACGTGCTGCATATGATTTTAAAATAATGATACTGGTGTGTAGATGTGATGAACAGTAATCTGTTGAACCAAAGGAACCACCCACAAGGATTTTTGAAAATTTAATGAGGGGTCAAAGAACCCATGTGTGGGGATCATGAGTATTGGTTGTAAGTACCGTTAACTCTAGTAACTCCATATGTGTTAAGTTTCTCCAGTTTAGCAGGTAGAGTGTTTCCTTTGTGGAATTCCTGAAAGTTACAGTTTCTTGTCTCTGACCTTTAGATGTGTGGTTGTCCGGGTTACTACTACTCACGGTGGGTTGTTTTGGTGAACCTGTTTGCTCTTTTCCTGTGTGACCTTTCAGTTACTATGGTAAACCCATCCCATAATAGTTTGTGGTTTTTTTTTGCTTTAAAAGGCCGGTGCTTGCCGGCAATAAACGCCGCCTTGATCAGACTCTTGTCTTGGCGTCCTTCTTTTCTCTCTGCCCCATCTCCACCCCGCTGCTCTTTCAGGTTTGAGACACTGCTGGACAGTGCTCTGCGTCGCCGGCTCGCGACA